CCATGATTACCCAATTCAACTTCAATATCTCCTCCATCTTGATCTTGACAATACCAATCAGGAATTCCGATCGAGAGGAATCTCATTCCTTCTTTTTTCTGGAATTGGTCCACCCTTTTCCCTGCCAACACTGAGTGTTTTCAATTGAATAGCTCTAAAGTTTTATCGCGTTTGTCACCAACCTACATGTATGCGACACTCTGATTTCATCGACGTTCCCATGTCACAAACGCGTGATGCTTTCTATCATGTAGACAGACAAACAACGCGTGTTCTGTTCTGAAAAAGGTCACTTTCGTAAATGATATTGGTTTTCACAACCACTCGAAAGATACGCTACTGTGATTTTGTTGAGCGAAGTAGAAGGGGGCACTGGCAGTCGCAAATCGGATAGTCAAGATTTCACTTTAACATAAATGCCATTGCTAACATTTTTTAAACTATCCGACTCAAACCCTCTAGTCGCCAACCCTTCTAGTCACATGTTAACAGCTCAGTAACTCTTCTGCATGTTGGTGATAAAACTCCATTCAGGTGCACAGCCATTCACCTTACAACAAACCCCTCGGAATAAGATGTATAACCGATAAGCGAACCCGGTCCTCATTTCGTTGGCTGGATACCATAGCCAAATGAATGCCACAGAAGGAGAGGAGGCCATCAGCCTCAGACTACGAAATATAACTTCAACTCGGAATCTGCTTATGTTTATGATGGGAGCACCTATTAGGGTCAAGTCCACTTTTGACAATCACCCCGACCTCGTCCTTTTCCGCTAGGCAAATTAACAACTAAGTATCACAGTTCATGAGGAAGAAGAATGGAGATTCAATTAAAACCGATGCGCTGCTTCAGCATAGCGTCTTCTTGCAACTAGTTAAAACAACTCTACTTCCCTTTCTTTTCTTTTTCTTTAAAGTGGTGTTCTTGCCTCGTGGTCGTCAGGATCAGGAGCCGCGGGCATCGTTGGTGCTTTGGCGTACGCTGCGCTGACGTCTATTTTTTCGCCACAGGTTACCCTCCTTGCCATCACCTTTGTACCCTTGGCGATGCTTTTCATGTGAGTTTTTGAAATCACCTTTTAAAGATCTGACAGTTGGTTCTGTGCTCCTCTTTACCATGAAGAGAAAATTGTCTTCACTTGATCCAACGAGTGGTCATTCATTGCGCTATTTTTTAAGTCCACCTGACTCCAGATGGTCCATTCGCCACAAAAAGGGCAATTTTATGTGTGTTGGATAGATTTGGGTGGGAATTTATGGTCCAAGTGCTCACTGAAGAGCTGGTGAACTGTTAACGACAATTTTGCGAATTAGACGTCACAACGATACCAGAACGTGGAGGTTGAATAGTCCTAGAGGTTGGAGGCGTCATTGAAATGACTGCCGTCCTGTTTGTTACAGTCTGTAGCAACTTTTCTGCGTGTTGTAAATTAAACAAATGGATGAAATAATTGTATTTGCTGCAGACGTCCATTTTCTATGTTTGAAATTGGAGATTTTGTAGGTAGGCGTAGATTCTGTCGAGTTTTTAATCAACAAAGGGTCAAGTGACAAAGACAAGGACATCAACTCTAACGACCGTATTTATCGCTGGGTTTGAGTATGAGTAGGCAGGGCCGACGGCATGTGTGTCAACCAACTACTGAAAACAAAGGATGCCTCCATGCTCTCTTATTTGTGGCCTCTTAATAGGCATTGGTAGTGTGATGGTGACTTGTACATTTCAAGTCGATCTGTGCGTGATATAGACCAGTGTGGGGAACCAGACGAGGATGCAA